CTCGGCGAGACGTCGATTAATTTCGAATCTCATCTCTAGTAGACTCTATTGTAGACGTTAGGAGAGAACGACGTTTCGCGACCTACCGCGAGATGATGTCGGAGACTTACCATAGAACGATACCGAGGATTATCCCCCTAATCATACGGTAAATCCCATTATAAGGTAATACTATGGGTTTCCTCGTAAGGTATCGACCGTATCGCGGTCGCGCGAAGACGTAGGTTTTATCGAAAGGTAACTCCTATAGTTGTACTATAACGCGATAGGTATCGTACTTTCTGCTCTGGAACGACCGAACAGTAAATCTTGTTCGGAACATTTGTCGACTCGATCCCATCTCGATGTTAGCCGAGTACATAGGTAGATTCCAGCGTGTAAACGCGCAGCTACTCTAGATCGGTTTCCATCGAGGCGAGGATCCTTCGTAGCGTTCGAATAAAATTTATCGACCGACCTATGAGACCACTCGTAACGGAAAAAGTGTACGCGTGCCGCATCGGAAAACAATATCGACGACAGCGGTAAGTTTTGAAAATTTTCATCCGGTTCGAAGACCATCGTAACCGTCCTTGGACGAAAAAAGGTCGAACAACGATCCCGATGGCCGTTTCTACGGCAACAATCGTCGGGTTTTACCAGCCGTCGGTGTCGTCGGCTAGCTCTCAAAGAGACAGCTCGATTCCCCGTCACGCGAACGCCGACTGTTGTCCTGCAAATAGTGATTATTCCCGTTGTGTGCCGCGAAAACAAGCCCTTTCAACGCGTCGACGCGTTCACCGAAGCGTTTCCCGCGGCTCGTTACCAGCCGACAGCCGAGAAGAAAGGTTTTCCCGTCGCGTCCATGCGATTTCGTGGCACGTGCGTTCGAATCGGAAGTGCGAGCGTTCGCGTACCGATTCGGACCGATCTCGCGCGAATTCTCTGTCGCGCGTCCACTTGGACGGCGCATCGATCGAGAAGTTAGAGCGAACCGATTCGTATCGAACGTCCAGACGGAAGATCTGGCAATCGTGTCTGTTAAACGTCGTGGCAAAACGAACGAAAGATACGCTTCTGCCGATTGCTTTTTTTCCCCTTTTTCTCTTTCGCTCACTGCCCTTTTCTACGTTCGACGCTCGACTCGAGTCAAATGTAAACACAGAATAGAAACCTCGACTGGATAAATGCAATAACATAGCTGCGAGTCAGCTCTGAAAGCTCGTCACTTTTCACGACGGTCTCGACGAATCGCGCTTCGAGGAACCTCTAACGGACACGTCTGGGCTTCCGTTCTCGACAGACCGTAAGGCAAATACCACGATCGGACTGGCGACCGGATTGCGAAGCGGAGATCAGTCACGATTCGAAAACTCTTCCTCGACGGCCTCGTACCTGCGCGTTTCGGTTTTTCCGGGGCATCATTTCTCTGCCACGATTTTTGTCCGCTTATCGTCTCGTGTCGCTTATCCTTGGTATCCTAACGCTAGATTAATGGCTCCCTCGTTACGTTACGTTACCGCGCGCGGTAGCAACCCTCCGCAACGAAGAAGAGCATCGGTTCCTTCGCGACTGGCCGGTTTCTACGGTTGACACTGGTCGAAGCTAAAGTCGTTTCTACGGGACAAGCTAAAGATCGCCGCGATTTTTACAACGAGCAACCACGGCTTCCAACCGCTCGCCGTAGAATCGGTTTTCGATTCAACTTTCTCCGAACCTATGATATTCGATCCCCGAGTCTTCTAGGCTTTATCGACTAGTCTCGTATCGATTTTTTGGTTAAATACTCGGAATACTTGAACGGAATCGGATTGTTCGTCGATACAGACCGCGAATGATTTTTAACGAATTTCGTTGTCGAATGATTTTACACGCGGAGTAACGCCAATCTGAGATCACAGCGAGCTACTCGCTGTCTCGAACTAGTCGAACTATCGGTCAACCCGCGATGTGAAAATTCGACGAGATTCGGTGAAACTAATAGAAAATACGATCGGGGTAGCTGTAGAGGGCTTGCCACGTTGAATCGGTTGATCTCAAAAAAAAGAACATTCTTAAAAATAGCCCAAAATGAGTCCACGTTGTCTACGCTTGAAGGACAATTAAACTGCTTAAACTGCAGACTACTTGCGATATCCGTAAGAAAAGTTCGTGTTGTGTTCAAAACATATCGTGGAAAAAGAAAAATTGTGCAGTGCAACGCATACAGTGCAGACTAAAAGTAGATTATTATTTATTATTATTATTATTATTATTATTATTATTATTATCACTATTATTTCTACTATAATTAGTATTATTTTTAATTATTATTATTTTTAATTATTATTACTATTATTATTATAATTATTGTTATTATTCTTATTATTAATGGTATACGATACAGCCCGTCGCCAAGAAAGAATTCTTTCCGTGCATCCAAGAACAAGAGTCACCCTCGATAACGTTTCACTTCTTCGTCGCGAAATATGCGTCGACCTGAATTTCGAAAGCGGCGAAAAGTCCGTTAAGAGGCACCGAACGAAGTCGATTTCTCTTCCGTATCGACCGTTTCCGACCCTCTCGATAAATTTCACGCAGTAACGTGTCCGGCGACAATCACTCCTGGTCCCGACTTTCGATCGGAGCGCCGGGCGATACCGTATCACAGAGTTTACATAATTAGCGGCATCGACGCTATCGAGTAAAAAATAAAAACTACAATCAAATTCGTCAACCGAATAAAAGAAGTACGCCTATTCGATTAATTTACGTAACTATAAAGGCCGTTGTGCATAGTTGAATACCGAAGAGCGAAGAGCTAGAATAATACTACAGCGAGCGGTTCGTCGATCTCGGAACTTTTGCAACCGGTGACCGCGACAGTGTCAACGAATCGCGAAATTGTTTTCGACGATACAGGGTGCCCCGAAAATGTTGGAGATCCCGGAGAGGGGTGGTTCGAGGGCGATTTGAAATGACTTTTTCCTTAGCGAAAATGTTGTCCGAGGCTTCGTTTAGGAGGTATTAACAACCCGGACCAATCACAGCGCGTAGCCTATGCTATCGCGGCTGACTAACGCGTAGGCTGTGCTACTGTGGCCGACTAGCGCGCAGCCTATTCTACTGCGGCTATCTAGCGCACGTAGCTTACGCACCGCTGCCATTTTCTGTTAATATCTCCTTAACGAAGCCTCCGACAACATTTTCGCTAAGAGAAATCTTGTTTCAAATCACCTCCCGAATCACCCTTTTCCAGGATCTCCAACATTTTCGAGGCACCCTGTATAACATCGTTCACAGCCGAAAAAATCGAACAGCGCCAGGACGAAGGCTTGAGTCGCGAAGGTCGCGAATACCCGATCGATCTATTCAACGTCTACGCTAAATACGTAAATCGGGGGGTATCGATGTGCACGCAAAACGCCATGGAGACACGGCGACGGGACAAGAGAAATACGAAGAGCTGACTTTGCTCGGATGTTTGCGTTTCGATCGATCGAGGAAAAGGCCGAGCGGTCGATGTTGCGAATCGGAGGCAACGAGACTCCTCGACGTATCATTGTAAATGAAAGGCAAAGGTTTACTCTTCGAGATGATCACTTACGGAATTCAGGCTTCACCGGTTCTCACGGTGCAACCGGACGTCATCGCGCGCTTAAAACTCTGTTAGACAACGGCTACGCGAGTACGCACGTTCGATAATGGATTACAGTAAAGTCTCCTTAAATGCACAGAAACCATCCTCATCATAAGAGTATACCCCTTGAGGGTTCGCAGGAGTTCGATCGCCGAGTAGTGTAACATGCTCCGGGATCGGATATACCCTGATGTTTTCATACCGTTTTCTCCTTTATTCGCTGGTCCTTCTTTCACGTTCGAAGCTCGTCGGCAACCGTCAGAAAATATACGAACTCCACGATGAACGCACAAGTTCAGTCCCGAGCTCGCGCAGTTAAGGAGACTTTACTGTGCACAGCGTTTGATCGCGGGTGGTGGTAGACTCGAAGACACCTTTAAAAAATATCTACTTTCACCTGTTTTCGAGTGTTCCGATCGTGTCCACGTATTTATATCCGTATGCGTTGCACGCGTGACACTATCGTGTCTCGGCGAGTCGGGTTCGAAATTATATACATATCCGTATACATGAATATATTCATATAAGCATGCATATACATATGTATACATGTACGTATAAATATATGCGCGTGTATGTGTACGTATGTATATATGTATATTTAACAGTTCTGTACATCAGGTTAAGTACCAACCTAGCTGGCTCGTAATCTCGCACAGTTCACCAGTCTTAAACACCGAGTTAACGTTATTATCGCTACGGCGGAACTGCTACAACCTTCCGTCGGAACTTTCCAGACACGATAGAGAGTCCGTTTCTCCTGAAACCGACGAGCAGTAAACTTTAATAACGATATAATTGGTTAGCCTAAAAAGTGGAGTAATCGAGGGAACGAGTGGAGTTGTTGGGAGTCAGGATTGGTGTTGCGTGTTGAGCTTGAGCAGATAATCATGCGAGTCCCTGTCGCGACTCGTAAACGACGAACGATGCGTATCCTCGCTTCTTTCTCCTTTTATTTACGACTACTTCCCTTCGTTGTCTGCCTCTCTCGTACTTTCCGCTCGTAACGCAAAAATACGCGTGTTCTCGGTCGCTGGAACCGATATTTCGTTCGTTCGCGCGATCGATATCCGACTCGCGTAAGGAATACGATTGTTATTTCTCCAACGACTCCATAGGAGTCTTAACCCTTCGCACTCGAGGCCTTCTTTTCTGGTATCTGCCAGCAACTCGAGATGTTTTTTAGCATTCTATTGCCATGAATCCTAAGCCATTTAGATTCGAGAATAAAGTCATCTTTACCTTGCCGACAATCATTTTATCGACACTTCGAGCTCCGAAGAAGTTAAACCTAAAGAAACGTTAGGTATTTGCAGGTTTGCCGCGTGAAACCTGAGAGTCACCTTTCGAGTGGAAAGGGTTAAAATCGTATGCGTACTTCAAATCTTACGCGTACTTCAAATCTTACGCGTACTTCAAATCTTACGCGTACTTCAAATCTTACGCGTAAATTCCTAATCGACCCGAGACGCGATTACGAGCGCAAAGGTATCGATTTCTGTCCTCCGTGTCGCGGATGAATTTTCGTTTCGATTTCGGTGGCTCGAAACGACTACAACTCTCTAGACATTTTTCGAAGTTTCTCTCTTCCTGCGAATTCCTCGTTTCGGAAGATTTCATCTCGAGCGTTAGAGCGTCTAACCTGTGAAGAAAATGTGTGTGTGTGTGTGTGTGTGTGTGTGTGAGAGAGAGAGAGAGAACAACCGGAAGCTTCTCGAAAATTGTCTTCCAGTCACGAAGTCCTGGATTTTTTGACGCTCCCGATCCGGATATTCGTTTCGGACTCGCGGGCGTCAAACAATTGCTGTTCCACGTTGTTCGCGAAATTCGCGGGGATTTCTGAATCCCGCCGTGCGGTTACTCGGTACTCGGTAGCTTCCTCGCGTTTACAAATTGCCACGATCGCCGATTCCCTCCGAGTTCGCCGAATTTCGCTTGTACACTGGTCGAATAAGTAAATCTAGATTTCCTACAGAATTCTCCGAGTAGAGAGGATTCAACGATCTCGATCGAAACGACGAGAGGATGGAAAACGCGTCGTTTCTCGTTCCCCTTCCGAAGAGGGGCTGTGATTTGATTAGTGGCGGCACTGTCGGTCCTTCGAATACGCTGGCCTGACTCTGACAAGAAATTATTATCCGTAGACACGCGGTTCGGGACTTCCGGGAAGCCTGGCACCTGATTAATCCATTACGTCTCCCGACTACTAGGTCGGCTCCTTTTGTTCCTGCTCAACGGGCACTTTGGTCGTACGACCGACGTCTGATATCCATTCGGTCGGATCACGACGACGACGACGACGACGACGACGACGACGACGTCGTTCTCCATCTGTCCCGAGGTTCTTGTCCCGCCAATCACGTCTCGGAACTTGTTTTCCTCGAATTAATTTGTCCGAATCACCGACACTGACGGAGCCCCTCGTTTCGACCGATCAACGACAACAAGTTTTTCGTTCCCTTCCCGAAGAAAAGGTATTTCGGAATCGACTCGCTACCTGAAACAGGATCGGCGAAAACGGATACGCTCGACGCGATTCACAAAGTCGATTTTAGTTGTTCGCGAATCGTTATCGGAACAAAGTACTCGGTTGCATCTCGTCGCACGCGCGTATCGATCGATGAAAACTCGTCGGACGACGTAACGCGATTTAAACGTCCATCGCGTCGCCGACGTATCCCTCGTCGGGACTTTCCGGATGGTGCGGGGGCTGGAGCTCTTCCGCTCTGGCCGCGGCGGCGGCGGCAGCTTCGCGTGCCGTTTTACCGAGCAACGATCTGGGGGAGAGAGGCGTCGTTTCGCCTCTGTACGCGGCTGGCGGCGAAGGAATAAACGGCACCTCGGGGTACACGGGCACCGGAGAGACCGGGGAAACGGGCAATTGTTGTTGAATCGGTTGCTCGACTGGCTGAATCTGCGGTTGCTGTTGAGTGGGATAAGGATATCCCTCGGCGGTGTATCTGGCGTCGGTCCTCGGCAACACCGGGTCGTATCCGGGCGATCTGGCGAGAAACTCCGCCTCTCTGGAATAACGGGCGGGCGGCGCCACCGCGGAACCCTCGGCCATTCTCTGTCTCAAGCGCGGCAGAGTGCTCGCGGCACTGAACGGTAGTTTGGGCAGACCAAAGTTCAAAGGGTAGCCATCTTGATCGAGATAGCTCAGCTGCGGTATGTTCGATGGACGAAGGTCGGGCTGTAGCGGGTACCCCGAGTCGTACTCGAGGATTTGTCTGTCTCCCGGCTGATGACGGTACAGCTGACCGTAGCCCACGTCGGTAGTCTCGGGGACCTCGTTTATCAAATCCGGCTCCGTCAAGTACTTGGAGACAGGGCTGCGGTAAGGCTCGTCCACGCTTCTATGTTCTCTTCGCTCGAGAGTCGCCGCTCTGCTCATCTCTCTCTCGGTATACGAGACTATCTGCTGGTGCTCCAGCCCTATCAGGCTCCCGTTCCCTTTCCTGCACTGCAGGCTGGTCACCGTGTCCTTGGTAATCGGCATCACGGACTTGTTCTGCGAGACCAGAGCCTTCGAGTTTCTCTTCCGGTCGCGACGACGTTTTCGTACGCAGAACACGATGCTGCCTATCAGGGAACCGAGTGCGAACAGCGTCACTACCAAAGCTCCCGTTGCCACGGCCACGATGTATCCCGATCTGGAACGATCGCTCGGCGGCTCCGAAGTTACCTTCTCTTGGACAAGCACTCGCAAAGATAGATTCGACTTTGCCGTGCCTGCTCCGTTTTCCGCTATGCAGGTGTACGTGCCGTCGTTCAACGATTCCACGGAGTAGATCAAAAGGGTGCTGCTCATATTGGTGTCGCCTCGTTCTCTATAGATGTATCTGGAACAAATCGCACGACACCGTACAGATATTTCGCTTAGGTTTCGCCGTCTTTCTACTTATTTCGTTTCCGTACGTTAGAAAACGTCCAACGTCCGCGATGCACGGGCATCGTCCATTACCATGCTTTAGCGATAAACGCGCGCGACCAATGTCTATCGAAGAAACGTGTTCTTTATCGCGAAGTCGCTCGAAATACAATTTCCTCGTAAGTTTCGTAGCAGAGACGTTCGCGTGAAATGCTAGGACCCGCTCCCTCGTTCCTTTGAAATTGAACGATACACGGCGCGTCGCAAAAGTACTCCAACTCCTTCGATCTCCGCTGACTCGAAATCGTTCGTATATTTTTCGAGACGATGAGAGAAATGTACGATACTATATAATATTAGGTGGAGTGGAAAGTAATGTTTCTGCGAATCTCAATACTTATTTATCATTCATTAGGCTCATTGATTTTTATCGATTTTAAATTGAAAATTCCCACGCTAGACAGCAAAGGGTTGTTAACCCCTTGCACGAACTCAGTCGTTGTTGGAACTCAGAAAATGCCTTACCGAGCCTGTCTCGTGGTTTTCAAGTTTGACCCAAAATTTGCATCGAGAGTTAGACTCGCGAAAATAATGCAACGAGTTATAATATCTCGTGATTAGACAATCGTTTAAAAATAGAAACTCATTAAGAATGTATTTGTTTGAATCTAATGTGAAACAAATAACATTACTTTTCAGGTTCCCCTAATGCTTTCGCGACAATTATTACTAGACTGCGGATCTTTATGCAAAATACAATCTTCGCGAACGTGTCTGCCAACATTGAACCTAAATAGGAATTTATATTATCCTACAAATATTGCAACATGAACTTTACTTTCAATCTTTTTTATACTTTTGCATATCGTTTCCATCTCGTAGTTTCTTGGACATTCAAATTTCCCATAAATGCATAAAGATCCGCAATCTAATTATTACCAATAGCTCGCAGTTTATCCAAGTCCTATTTTCGACTTGACGAACGGTTACTTTTCAAAAATGTTTCGGCGCTTGACGGATGCGGTGTGCACTTTTTACCGATAAGGGTTCCGATAACATCGATCCCGAAAGGACATCAACGATTCGAAACGAGCAGTTGCGGGGAGCGCGAATACTTCTGCGACTCGTTGGATGTAGCACGGCTAGCAGGTTATCGCGAAAACAGGGAGAAGTTTATCCGTGAGAGAAATTCAAATGTTATTGGAACTTTATTTCGATTCCGAACGACCGTGTACGTGGCCATTTGTACCACCGTTTCGCTGCGCCGATGGCTTCGCGAAAAAATTCCGGGAATTGTTTTTCGAGAGAAAATTTCGATATTGCTCGCGGATCAACGGTTCGGTAACCGTTGGCTATCTCGAGTAATAAAACGATATTCGAGAGGAAACGTTTGGTTCGCGAATCCATTCGAAAGCGATCAATTTTTTTATCGCATTTTCCGTAAGCATCCAAGTAACCAAGTGTTTGGATACGACATTCGACTGTCTCGGCTGCGCGAACGCGAAGTACGTTCGATCGTAAGAAGTACGTAAGATCGAAGAACAGTCAGTCCCGTAAATATTCGTGCCCTCCGTATGTATCGAAGAAATTTAAAATTAAAATACAAAATTTCTTTTGGTGGTACAAATCAGTACGAAATCCGGCACTAAATGTATCCGCTTTGAGATTGTTTCATTTACATGAATTTTGACGTGTGGTCCTGCTAGCTTAATATTAAGCTACGATTTTTTCGAAAACGACACGAGGTACAAAATTATCGTCGGTGGTACAAATTGGTACAAAATATTTACTAAATATTTACGAAATATTCCACCATGTCCGACATGATTCTGCCGATTCGGTCCCGTCTTTGGTCCCCTCGTTTCTCGATGAAAAGAGCGCATACTCACCGTGGGAAGCTGGTAGAAGGATTCAATAGCGAATTGTTCTCGTTGCGCGGCTCGCAAGGCTCCCCGTTGAACCACCAAGTGAGCTTAGCGGCCGGGACGGCGTAGACGTCGCATCTGAGGGTGACGTTGTCCCCTTCGTAGGCCTCGAGTCGTTCCTGTAGGTCGATTCGCGGCAGGCAGGCCAGCTCGTTCGGTTTGACGGTCTTGATCTGTTTCCCGTGGAGTCTCGGGGGAGCGTCGCAGACGGGCTCGGACTCCTGCGGGGCCGCTGGCGCTGACTCGTTGAGCCAGGTCTGGGTGGCGCGCAAACGGCAATCGCATATCCAGGGATTGTTGTGCAAAGTGAGACCTCGAAGGTTGCCGCCGAGTGGCAGCGTCAGCTCGGGCACGCGAGTCAACCGATTCCCATCCAATCGAAGCCACTCGAGCTGGTGGAGACCGTCGAACGCGGAACGCTCTATGATCTCCAGTCGGCACTGGCTCATTTCCAGATTCGTCAGGTGTGGCAGATGCTGAAACGCCCCGCGGCGGATCTCCCGTATGGGATTTCCGTTCAGCAGCAACTTCATCAGATTCGTGTAGAACGGGAAGGTCTCGGTCGGCACCTCCTCGATCAGGTTCTCCGATAGATCGAGCTCCACCAAACCCATCAAACCAACGAACGCCCTCGACGCTATGTGGCTGATGTGCGATCTGGCTAGATAGAGTCGCTGCAGATTTATCAAGCCGAGGGCGTGGAAGCACTCCGTCGGTAGACTGACCAGATGATTGTCGGACAGATCCAACACCTGCGTCTCCTCTCGGGCGCCCTGCGGGAGCCCTTTTAGGTTACGGTTCGCGCACTCCACCCATTCTTTTCCGCTTTTCCATTTGCACGTGCACAGAGAAGGACAGCTCTCCACCGTCGAGCTCCACGTTAACAGCATCATCATCCCGAGAAGCGCCCCTCTCCGCCACCAGGCCCGCACGCTCGGGCACATGGTGCCTCGTTCTCGACCTCTCGTTACTTTCTTTTATTTCTATCGCATCTTCAACATTCTCGCACCGTCTGCTCCTATTTCTACGCCGACATTCTTCCCGCTCGACCGCTCTCCGAAGGAATTCTGGCGGGGTCATCAAGCCGAGGCGCTCGATCGTCGATTCCCACCCTGAAACAACAACGGTTCGAACGAACCCCGTTAGAAACGTCCTCGTCCGTTCCGTGGGTCGTTGGAAAATGTTCGGGAAACTCGTGACTACGGGCTCGAAAACCTGGAAGCCTCGAAAACAGGTCAAAGGGTTGCGTTACGAGTCGACTTATCATTCGGCTCGCGAATCGTCAACGGTCCGCTTCCTCTCCGAAACCCCGTTCGTTCTTTAAAACCCATTCGCGAGTCCGCGCGTACGAATTTCGTTCAAAAAGTAGCTCGTCGTTCCGGATAATTCTCGTCCAACGTCAACGTTTCGGAGTGACCCTTCGTACGTTTCGACACTTTCGACAAGTTCGTACGAGAGTATACCAGCGATGATTTTTCGCTGAAAAAAGAAATATATACAGTAAAGACTGGACAAGTGGAAGAAAACCGGGACCCAAAGATTGCATTTCTATTCTGTGGTTACATTTGGCTCGAGTCGAGCGTCGAAAATAAAAAAAAAGACAGAGAGTGAAAGGAAAAGAGGTCCGAGCAGAAAAAAGCAGTCGACAGAAGCGCGTCAAACGGTCAGGAGCATATTGCACTGAGCGTCAAGGGGTCCTTCTTGATTCTTGCGTTTATCCAGTCAATCCTGTCTTGCGCTTATCTAGTATTTCCCGTGTCCATGTCGAATCGAGTAACCTCCTCCTTTTTGACGTCGGTTGAAAATAAACCGCGCCTCGCGCGAATCTACCAGCGAAATAAAAGCTTCGCGTAAGTATACAACGATCGATGGACGGCGAGAGAGCGGGGAAACATCGATCTCGTCGAAGCACGCGCAGCTAGTTAGAAATTCTCCGATGGTAGCGGTCGTAAAACAGGCACCGTTGACGTTTCCGCGGCGCGGCGTTGATACTGTTCCCGAATTGACGTACTGCGGATTAATAATTAATCGTCCGATCACGCGATACATTTTGAACGAAGCATCGGAGCGCATACTAATCGCTGCGTCATTGGACGACGTTAAATCGAGGCACGTCGCCGTGCGATCCACCTCCTGACGCGATTCACAGCGCGGCACACGGGCCCTGTACCGGCGAATTACACCGCGGATGCGTCCATTAATTCCGAGACATTGAAAACACGATCCGCCTAAGGAAACCCCGGTGAACGAGCTGGGTAAACTCGGCGACGAACGGTCGCTATAACCGATTCATCTCGCGAGAGCGGCTCGTCGCGGCGATTGTCGCCCTCGCGGGGATCCGAACGATATATCGCGCTCCACGCGAGAATCTACATTCCATTTCACCGTTAAATGTTTTATCAGCCGCGGAAATAGGACCGATCCATCGAGGGATTTACTGCGACGAAAACCATGTTGAAACACGTTCGTGTGGATTTTATTCCTCTACCGCGGGCTGCCAGCGTACCTAGAACACGGAAAGTGAAACCACGAAACCTGATCGGACCACCAACGGAAACCATCGCGTCTCCCTTTCCCCGGACACTCGTCCAACTAAAACTTAATCGATCGACGAAACAACTACCAAGACAATTTTACTACTATCGTCTACCAGCGAGATCCGTTGCAACGGGACGCGATCGGGTGCATCCGTACGGACAATTTTTATTTTATATTTTCGACGTATTTTTTCACGTAGAATCATTCCCGTTTCGCTTGTACCAGCAGTTACGGAACAGGCCAAAGATGCGACCGAGATAGCCACGGTATACGGTTAGCGTTTTCCAAGTTCGATTTCCGTGGCATAGAGAGTGCTCGCAGACTCAAAGGGGCGATCGTACCGGCCGGATACTTGGCAAACAAATCGGAAAAGACACATCGCGCGACTGTCTTTTTATCGCGAGACCGAGATCGTAGATTCGCGAAGGTGAGGGCGAGAGAAGGAGCTGAATCCTTGATTTCCTTCTGGCGCGTTTTATGGAAAAATCTGACCCGCATCGGCGGTGGAAAAGTTCGGAAATGTTTGCGAGATGGCTTCGGGGCGACAGGAGGCTCGCCGAGAGTACGAAAGTCTGTAACTGGGGGACTTTGAAACTGGTACAGTCTCCCCCGAAGAGAGAAGTCTGTATCGTCGCGGAGAAAGTTACGACGCAAAGTTAATGCTTTTAGGAAATGCGCTCTCGATCTTCGATATTTCCATACAAATAGACCCGCTAGCAGAATTAGAGAAATCGCAAGTGACGCGTTGTTTCGCGCTACGAGCCTAACCTTGCGTCTCGTTATCGACAAACGCAAATATCGTTCGTTTCTCGACGACAGTCGAGAAATGGTGTTCGAAGGAAACTGTTGCAAACACGGGTAATCGACGAGGCGATCGAGTGGGACGCTAAACTTTGAGAATATCGAGTAACGAGAGGAAAGACGTTGTAGCAACGGAACGGAGAAGGAAAGTGTCGAGAAGTTGACGAGGAAGAGCAGAGGTGTATCCGTGAAAGAAGTTGAAAGCCGAAGAGATCAAAACGGGATAATAAATTCCATAGAGACGGGAGCGTGCACGCGACCCGAAGACACTGGCTGGAGAAGAAACACTCGTCGCGGCATAACATCAGCCGATATCAGGATATCGGAATATCGAGCGCATGCGGTTCGTCGGCATGCAAACCCCACGGTTTTTCATGGCTTTATTCCAGTATTCCCGTTCGATGAGCTTTTCCAGCAGAAGGAGCGCAAAGGGAGGCCTCGAGAATATTGCCTGCTCGACGTTTCGAATCCAATATCTGTTATCGGCACTTTTTTTTCCGCTGCAATTTCGACGATGCTCCTTCTAACGCGCTAAAACTGACTACCGGCTTAGGAAGCTACGTATCGCGCCACGATTCGCGCCACGATTCGCGTTTCTTAACCCCCTGCGCCACTTTCACGAGTCTGACTCTCGTCATCGATATTTCAGGCCAAACTTGAAAATCACGAGTCAGATTCATGATGCAAATTTCAAGCCGAACTTGAAAATCACGAATCTGGCTCGTAATGAAAATTTCAGGACATACTTGAAAATCACGAGCGTCACTCGTGATTTATTTATTTATTTCGATATATACGGGCATAATAGCCCATTATGAAATTAATACAGTGTAGCGATTATGAAACAACCACAGTTGACAGACTTCAAGACGAACAAAAATTTACAAACATGCAAACAATCATAAAAAATGATGAAAACTCTGGATCGTGATGAAAATTTCAGGATATACTTGGAGATCACGAGTTTTTACTCGTAATGCAAATTTCAGGACGTACTTGAAAATCGCAAGTCTGACTCGTGACGAAAACTTCAGGCCAAACCTGAAAATCACGAACAACGCTCGTTGTCAAGTTCTCCGAGCTTCAGCGTGGTGCGAGGGGTTGAAAAGAGAATTGAGAATATTATAGTAATCGCGAGACGCGCATCGCGCGTATAACACGCGACGTTACCGATTTCTCCCTCACCCTCCTTTCACCCTCCGCCGACGGTGTATCTCGGCTCGCTCTATCTCGCGGCGCGACAAGAAAATGTAGCGCGAAAATGAAAAAGGAGACGAAAAATGGGAATTCGATGTATTCCCGATAGCATCCTCGATAAACTCCGGTGCCGTGCCGCGCCATACCGCGCCGGGTCTCGAGGAAACCGGTCCCCAGTTTCTTGTTTCTCGCGAGAGACGTAATGGTGCCTGCACGTTTCTCGATTACGAAACGAATTTGTCACGGTAAATAATGTTATCGGAGCGATGAAATATTTCGATATTTTTCAAGGTGTCCGTTCATGAAACGAGATTATGTTTTCGTTCTTTTTTCAGTTGAATACGTGACTCGAAGCCGGTGTAATTTCATCCTTTGCCGTTCGTTTCCGCTCGATGCGTCAGCGGGGAGTATAAATTTGGAATAAAAAGTAAATTTCATAGATAGTTCGCGTTGTGATCGTAAATCCCGGCGGTACCTTGGTTTTCATGCGAGAAGAGGTCTATTCGGCGAGATGAATTTTTCCCTGTCGCGAGCGACCCCCCGCGTTTCAAAAATTTCTGGTCACGCGGCGAGCTGTCCATAAAAACAGGAAAATGGGATAACGGTGGAGAATGGGAATCGGGGGCGGCCGAAAGGCAGTAACGGGACACACCGAGTTAAAGATCAAAGTCCTCGTTCGATTCATGACGGATCGATCGGGGGGAATTCGGCAATTTTGCGCTCCGCTGGAGCGGATTGTATTTAAAAAGGGAAAATAGACCGATACGCTAACGTCGGACTTTTATCCTTGTCGAGCGCAAGCGTGATTGTCGATTCGTTAAAGGAGACGCGATAACGGCGATGACTTCAAAGCGGAATGTCCGATGGGAATAAAGGAATAAAAATAACGCTGAATACGAAGCGGCGCGGACGAAGATGCGGGCGAATCGATGGTTGGTGAAAATTTAATCTCTTCGTCGATTTTGTCGCTTCTTCTAGAATTATTTGTGAAGATTTTTATTCTAGCAAACCCACCAGGTACTCGACCCTTTGATCGCGAAGGGCGTACGTATACGTCCACGAGAAATGGACTCGGAGAAACCTTTATATTAGGTAAATCAGTTTTGAAAAAATATCAGCTTACAGGGTTTGACGAGACGAAACTTTTTTTATATACACACTTCTATTCGTAGAACGCTTAATTTCGGAACTAAAAATTAAAAAGAACAACACTTTCTCCGAAACTGTCTCGAACCACCGATCGTGTAACCGACTCGCTGTTTAGCGTCAAGTCAATTTCATGGTTCGCAAAGGAGACTTCGATTACAGCGCGTTTCACGGGAAACGCTAATCCTCGGCGAGATAACGGATCGCTGACTCGAACAGGGGCGTTCGAATCGAACCAAAGCCAACGCGACGATAAGAGGGAACACGCAGACAGGGAAGCAACTATCCTAGAGCAGCCAAGGCGGACATAACGCGAGAGAGGCTCGCGCCTAACGTCGACTCGCAATCTTTTAACGCAATTCGCTCCGTCGAACCATAAAATTACCGAATACCGGCATCGATCGACCGCCGTTCCCGCAGGACGAAC